GGAACCATAATGACTCTTGACAATCTGTTACTCATGTACAGTAATTTCTCCCAGAAATTTGTATAGAAGCTCGGGGTAGTCGGGAAAAAAGGGCACCGGCCAGCATGCCGATGTACATTAATACGAATACATAGTAATACTAGAATCAAAACGATGACTTATCTTTTTTATTTCTAATTTTCTGCCACAATTCGAAGGCAATTTGGAGGCCTTATGCCACGATTCGAAAGCAAATCGGAGGCCACATGACACAATTCGAAGGCAATTCGGAGGCCACATGCCATGATTCGACAGTCACGTACCTAGTACAGTAAATTCTCTCTAATTTTCTTTCAGCTTGTAAATAAAAATGGACAATTTTGGAAGTGGAGACACGATTATTCGAGCCTCGCGCCTCATTTTTAATCTCCTCTTTCCAAATTGTCCATTTTTGTTTACAAGCTGAAGGAAAATTAGGGAAAATTTACTGTACCTACCACCTCCGTGGTTTTTCTTACCTGACTCACACCCAAACAGACCATTTTGTATTGTCTTCCGGAAATCGCATCCGCGTGACGGTATCACACGCTTGATCGATTCCGTCGACTCTTAGCATCGACGTAGCAATAAATTACATAGGCGTAGGACTAGCGCAAGGAAATTCATAACAACCTGAAATTTGTCATTTCCGGGAGAAATTATTGTATTCGTGACTGTCTTTCGAGCGCATGAATCTCAGTTATTATTTATCGATTTGTTAATATATTCTTTCTGCTTTTGTACGTTCAAAGTGTGATCAAATTATTATACTAAAGTATATATTATTACTGTCCCATTTGATGGAAACCAAGTATTTTATTTTCTTTATTTCATGATTGTGCGTCTTTTCATTTTGCTTTAATCCTCGAACGGCGGACTATTTTGACGAAAATGTAATTCAGAAGTATTTATAATTTTATTTATTAATTTTTCTTAATGTATTTTTTAATGCAATCCTTCTAAACACGTTATTCTGATCGTCGATAATGGTTATTCATAATTAATACTATTTCCGTCATTTATGATAGTTATTGGTAACTAAAATCATTTAAATCAAAATTGAATGATTATATTTCATTTCTTTTTCTCGCTTTGGTTATAATAGTTACGGTGTCTGGTAAATATTGTTTGAATGTCGGCGAATCTGAATGTACAGAGAGAATGTTGCATGAGATGTGAGAGATACTAGCGAAAAGGCATCGGTGAAGTGTATAGCTGAATGTGGATTATTTCATGTATTGTTATTTGCTTGTACAATGAGTGATGTTATAATTAGTTCATTAAATATTTCTTGCCGATAAAAGAGATGTTATTTGGTTTCACTTCAAAGTACTAATTCGTTTCTATTCCATTAACGCCAGATTCCCTGACACGGACGTAATTGCGAAAGCAGAACAAGGCTGCGCAGTGTCGGTAGCGTAGCTGCACACGCGAAATTTCGTTACGCGGTCGCTGTTTCTACGTCGCAGCAAAGGGTTTTGAAAATTTAAAGGGTGCAAATGAGAACTGGCGCGAACCGCCCCGTTCGACGTGGCAGCGCATCAACTGACAGTGGCGCAGCACTCCCTCGCGGCTCTCCACGGAGATAACGGGCATTTTTTCTTTCATTTGCCCGACTTTTTTGTCACAATGTTTCAAGAGACCCTGTTCGCTTGTGATACCTCCTCCGCCGACCATCTCGCAACCCCCCAGCCTCCACAAACACGCCGCCGAACAACGCTGCGATTTTTTTTGTGTTTCTTTTTTTTCGTTGTTTTGATGATGTCACTTTGCCGGATTACTATTTGTCGAAAGCTCGTTGTCTCCTCTTACGCAGTGCAACTTTGACGACGGCACAATGGGGACTTTTGGATTTCCCGCGACTTTTGTAAACTAGAATGTACGAACAATGGAGTTTTGAACAAGTTCACCTTGATGAAGCCTTGTTCCCACGAAAAATTTCGTGCGACTTGTCGCGTTGATGACTCTTTTATTTGGAATTATTGTAATCAAGCTTTATTGTTCTTCAGGTTGTTTAGTTGTACTTTTGCATTTAATAAGCAGGGCGGTTTTCATCTCTGAAGGAATGTGTGTTTTTTTCAGTTTCGTGGTTGCGTCTTCGAAAAATTGAAGAGGTATATTATTTGAACAATTTGATAAGCTGATTTTTAATATGTCAAAACGTACAAAATTGTTCTACTTTGTACATATTTAAAATGATTCTATTTTTAAAATATATGATATTATTTTGTTTTGTAAACGTATAAAGATACATTAATTTAAAAATATATTATACTGGCTCTCTGCAACATTTTTCGCAAATATCTTTTCGTAATGAAGTGCTACGATGATTGAGAACGATTCAATAAAAAAAAGGAAAATGATTAGTATATTATCTTGGAGGTTTGAAGTTTATATTACACATAATGTTAAAACAAATGAAGTGTGGCTTAATTGAATAAATTCTTCAATAAAAATATTATTTGGTTATAATTACTAAATGATATTTTACTTTAATTAAAAGTAACAAATATTGTACGTATTTCCAATAAAAATGTAAAACACAATGCTAACATTTCGGCTAGCGATAGGTGCTTCAAATTTTTAAGCTGCAACGTACACATGGTAAGAAAAATACTGTGAAACTAGTATTTTTATTGCAATGTTGATGTTTCGTTTTTCTTTATATGCAAAAAAAACGTGAACATTGAAAATATCGATCAGTTAAATACAAACATTATAACAAAATAAACATGTTACTAGATTTATTTAAATATGTAATAAAAATATATTAAGT